ACACGTACCTACACTAAACAGTTATTTAACGTTGATAAACGTATATTTTGCTATGTAAAGTGGTTTTTTTTTTAGAATTCATTTGTAGAACCAAAGATGAGTGTTAATGCATTACAATGAATATGGTTTTAAATAACTATATTTGACTATAATGCATGTATATCATATCTATAATAATAAGTATTAATCGGATAGATATAGTTTCGGATAACCGACTTTAATAGTGTCTTGCGAAAGATGGTTTCATTGAAAAAATGACTTTTGCAAGATTCTTTTTTTTTTGAAATTAGTCATTATGATTCTCGCGCCGAAAATAATCGGCCATTAAGAACTACGAGGTGTTCATTTCCGGAATTTGATTGACAGTAAAATAAACGACATTTTGCAATTGTAAATGCATGATTGATTTTTAATTGTCATTGTTATAAATGAAACAATTGTTTAGGAACGATTTAAATATTTAATAACCGTTTCTTTATATGAGATACAAATAGTGTACCAGTTTCTATTTTTGTACAGTACAAGTTGAACAACATATTTACACAAAATTATGAACAACTACATTTTCTTTTATTCCACATGTTTATGATAATCAAACTACAGTATATCGACTTATACCAGAGTAGCAAAGAAAACTTTTTTTTACATTTAAGTTCAATAAATATCAAATATAATTATGTCATGCTGGTAAACTTATTACAAATTGAGGGGGAAATTATAAGCAAATTTTCAGCAGTGGCAATACTTGAAAAGATAATTTGCTACAAATCCAGAGATTTCGGGTTTAATATATTGTAAACATATAACGCCTATCAGACGTAAGTTGATACATATTATCAGTTTACTCGTATATATATGAAATAAGAACATATGTAAGGCGCATCCTCAAAATGTGCATTAATATTTGAATTAAGATAAACACATATCATTTCTTATCATGGATATCACAGAAAAGGAATGATACATACATGTAGGGTTTGAAACATTAACATGGTTACCATCGTATAGACATAAAGTAAGACAGATCACTCATCTTTAAATAACGCTTCGATAAATTATCAACATGTATATATGATAGGATATTAGCCGATGTACATATGGTCCATATGGCCCCACAAAGAAGAAAGAAAAAAGAGGATTTCAATAATCGACATCAGAGTGAATTGGGGCACACATATATCAAAATGTATCCTTAAGGCACACCTATATCAACGTTTTTCTTTCGAATTTAAGAGTTAGTAACACACATGGACATCCCCCGCCGAATGTGTTTGCTAATGGGAAGAATGTATACATAGTAGACCATAATAATTCAATTTTTAAGGTCTTTTGGTAATGAAAACTGATGGCTGAAGTGATTACAGATTTGGAACTTATGGCTAAAGATAACAAAGGGCAATAACTAAAAAATTATGAAGGTAGTGTTATTATTCTTGTGCACTGCACACCTCCTGAGTGAGATCTATCCACCTATGAAGTTTCATGTTGATATCTCAAAGGCTTTTTGAGTTATGTTCTGGACAAAAATTAAGTATGAAAAAAAGCAAAGGGCACTAACTAAAAAATTATGCAGGGTAGAATTTCAAGTTAGCACCTCAAATACTTTTTGAGACAAAAATGTGGGACGGAAGGACGGACGTTCTTACGGAACAGTAATAATGTGGCTACACTTTTGTTCTCTCTATTGTTCTTTTTAGCCACACAAAAGAAAAAAGCCACATAAAAGCATTACGGAATGAATGACATCAAAGAGAAAGTACAGTTACCTATTGTCTCACTAGCCACATTATTACTGTCCCGTGAGAGCGGAAGGACAGACGGACGGACAGAGACTATTTTTATCTCCCCGCCGCCTTTCGGCGGGGGATAATAAAGAGTAAATAAGACACACTTGATCAACCCTAACTGAATATATCCGAGTTATGACAGACATCCTTTGTGGACATTTTGGTGTAGCTACCTTGATTTGATTTTTTTTCACCTTAATCTGAATATTAGGGTGAACTTTATTAATCTTAATATGAATATAAAAGTTTATGAGTGACATTTTATTAATCTCAATTTAAACATAGGATGAAATCGATCAGATTTGTGTATCCAAGTTAATGAAGGGCCTTCATATCAACCCCTTATTCAATATCAACGAGAATTAGAAACATTTTATTTACCTCTATTTAAATATCAGCGCGAATTAAAAGTATTTATTTAACCTCTATTTGAATATCAGTGCGAAATAGAAACATTAAATTAACCTCTATTTAAATATCAATGCAAATTAGAAACATTTTATTAACCTCTATTTGAATATCATCAAGAATTAGATACATTTTATTAACCTCTATTTGAATATCATCAAGAATTAGAAACAATTTATAAACCTCTATTTCAATACCAGTGAATGAGAAAAGTTTTTGCCTTTACTTTTATCTTTACTTGAGTACTTGAGTGAATGAAGAACATCTTATATTTAATTTGAATAAGTATTTAACAGACATTTTATCAACGCCTATTTGAACATCAGTGGATAAATCAACCTTTAAAACGTTTTCTAGCACATATAGATAAATACGCACTTTTCTTGCTATAATAATAGTTGATGTTCACTTGTTTTAGATAACCCTTGATAGTATATGTTAAAGTTAAGACAAAATAGCTTCCCTTCTTTTTCACCTCTGAAGTTCTTAATATGTTCGAAGATTTATTTTTATTTTATGCTTTAATAAAGTCGTATGTCCTTCTTATTCTACCAATAATATATTATTTAAATCAGGCAAACTGTTTGCTAGGGCTTGCAACACCGATTTATAATTGCTAGATATACTGGTAGTTAGCTGTTGAGCTTATCCATGATAGAGCACGTGTCACTATTTTTTCAGTTTAAATTCTGGGTCATTTTCAGTGTAAATCTATATTTTGCTGTTGAATATGTCATCAATCTTTGAATATCTGAGTACAGATTCATTAAATCACCAATATCTGCATGAGTAATGGTTTGTCAAATTGCCAACATTTGTAAATGCTCTCAAATTAACGACATCACCATAGCTATTTAGAGTAAAGGTTTGTCAAATTACCGACATCTGCAAGAATATCAAAGTATAAAGGTTTGTCAAATTGCCAACATTTGTAAATGCTCTCAAATTAACGACATCTGCATGGCTATTTAGAGTAAAGGTTTGTCAAATTGCCAACATTTGTAAATGTTGTCAAATTACCGACATCTGCAAGAATATCAAAGTATAAAGGTTTGTCAAATTACCAACATTTGTAAATGTTGTCAAATTACCGACATCTGCAAGAATATCAAAGTATAAAGGTTTGTCAAATTGACAACATTTGTAAATATTGTCAAATTATCGACACCTAAAGGCTATTAAGAGTAAAGGTTTGTCAAATTACCGACATCTGCAAGAATATCAGATTAAAGGTTTGTTCATTTACCTACATCTGCAAGAATATCAGATTAAAGGTTTGTTCATTTACCTACATCTGCAAGAATATCAGAGTTAAGATTTGTCAAATTACCGACATCTGCAAGAATATCAGATTAAAGGTTTGTTCATTTACCTACATCTGCAAGAATATCAGATTAAAGGTTTGTCAAATTACCTACATCTGCAAGAATATCAGATTAAAGGTTTGTTCATTTACCTACATCTGCAAGAATATCAGAGTTAAGATTTGTCAAATTACCGACATCTGCATGAGTAACAGGGTAATGGTTTGTACGATTTTCAACATCAGCAAGAATGTCAGAGTTAAAGTTTGTCAACTTATCGACATCTGCATGAGTATTATTATAAATGTTTGTCAAATTATTAACATTTACATAGAAATATAAAAGTAAAGGTTCATTAAATTATAAAAATCTTCATGAACGCCAAAGTAAAGATTGGTCAAATTACCGATATCTGCATGAATATCAAAGTAAAGCTTTATCATATTGACGACATAAGAATCTGAGATTTTAGATTTGTCAAACTAAAAATACATGCATGATTGTCAGAGAAATGATTGGTCAAACTAACAATACATGCGTGATTATGAGAGTAAAGATGACTATCAAAGCAATGGTTTGTCAAATAAACAATACTTGCCTGATGATAAGGGCAATGATCAGAAAAATGGTTGGTCAAATAAACAATACTTGACTGATGATAAGGGCAATGATCAGAAAAATGGTTGGTCAAATAAACAATACTTGACTGATGATAAGGACAATGGTTGGTTAAAAATTTATTAACAATACTTGCATGATTATCAGAGCAATGGTTGGTAAAATTAAAAGTACATGCATGGTTATCAGAGTAAAGATGATTACAAGGGCAATGGTTGGTCAAATAAACAATACTTGTATGATAATCAGAGTAATGGTTGGTAAAATTGAAAGTAAAGTTAAAGTACCATCATATGCCTGAATATCGGTGTTAAGGTAGGACTGTTTATTAGCCTTTTTAATTTTTAAGATGAAACATCTATGCCGCATCATCATAACCATTTACGGTGATCATGGATAAGAATGGAGACATTATGTAGATCATTTCCTAGTTCAATGTTGTAGTTCAATGTTGAGGGAATGGTATATATAATTTATATCAGAAGAAAATTGATCTTGTTTGCCCTGTAATGCATCTTCACTATAGATTGACACATTTAATGACTGCATGAATATTTGATTACCTTCTATAAAATATAATGTCATGCTTGTTATAAAAATGAAAATATTCCTCGAAATATGCTGGTAAACCACTTTAAATTTGTTTTATTGTCACGATTGTGTAAATATGTCGATAGCTCTTGTGAGTGAAAATTAAAAAAAAAACATACAAAAACGTTTAGTATGTTTGTATTTTATTTTGTTTAAGAGTAACGGTTACTCATAGCGGTTGGTACGTGTAAGAGTGCTATAATTGATATATAACTATATATTTTCAATGTATCAAAATACACGTGAAAAAACACAGACACATATTTTCAATGATATATAACTATTAACATACCTTTTGTCCTTTACATATTCCTCATCATCATTTTTCATTGATTCCTCGTTTTCTTCTGACTGCATATTTACTAAATGACTGGGCGACACGTTTGATATGTCCATATATTTGTTTTCACTTCCACTATCTCTCGGCACGTAGTAAAAATCTGGCGCAGTGGTCGGCACTTGTTTCATTTGTTTTTTAAAGTTGAAATATTTCACAGTGTGAGATTTAAGTTTTAACGATCCAACATCTGTCTCTATCATTTCCGGCACACTACAGAGACGTCGAAAATGAGAACTTTTTCCTCGCTTTCGTTTTTCACATATCACTGTCAAAGTCAGTCACAATATCCAAGACTTTTTTGACAAAAACATTTAAATAGAACGTTCTTTTACATTTCTAACATCTCTCACAGAAATGAAAAATAATATCTCACAAGTATAAGAATGTCGGTAAAACAATGTGACGACAAATTGTACAACTTGATATAGTAATATTTAAAACAGTATGTTGAAAAGCACTTAACAAATGTTAAAATATTTTTGACATTTTATGTATGGACACACAACAAGATAAAAAAAGCAGTTTTAAATTTTTTAAGTGAAATCTCTTTAATATAAGAACTGTGTCAATGTTTCAACAGTGATTATATCGTACCGGCCTGAATACGCCCATGTGTTTAAAATAAGTTACAATTATGTGACAATAAATTTAGTCTTTTCATTTCACGTTAGACTCATTCTTATAAATTTGCATATAAATAATTCCGTGTTTAACACAAAATAACTTAGAAATGAATGAAAATAACTCTTAAATATTTCACAATGCTATTTAATTCAATTTAATGTTTATTCTAAACGGTTGTAAAGCTTCCGCGTTAAGTCGAGTATTATTACTATATTGATATAGTAAATCCTCGTGTCGTTCTGTGTAAAACTCACTGTAGTGAATGGAAAGTATCATTGCAAACATGCAAATATATAAAACACTCACATATTACATTTTAACATTTGTTATCCGTAAATGTGAATGTCACAGTGAAGTTGAACCGCGGGGACGTATTCCTCTCGTCTTTAACTATTCCGTTAGTGTAACAGCCCTATTATCGTATAGTTAGTATGCGTTTTGTTTTAAATAATGTAAGATGTACAGTATCATGGCCGTGTTAAACCTCTAGTGCAGTCTACTGCATAACTGGCAGTACATGACATTGAATTACGATACAAGATAAATTATATCTTATTTCAGAGGTATGAAACATGAAAAACTTGTAAGGCCACGTGCAGAGAAAACATTGGTTTGCTGAGTAACTAGTTAAAATGATAGTATATACTTGTAAAACTGTCAGACTATCTGATATACAGTTGAAATACTGGGATTGGATGATATACTTTAAAATTTGGACGAATACCTGTGATCTATCACGTATTCTATGACGACATCTTAACCTTCTTATGTTGAAAATAGCCGTTGATAAAAAATGTCAGTCGCATATTTCCTTACAGGTCATTATGTAATCAATGATATGATATGGAAGGTAAACGATTCATAACTTCTTTTCTGTTTTATACGAAGCTAAATTTACAATGTATAGTTTGAAATCATTGTTATATTATAAACGAAGGTTTTTAGTTTTAACGCACGCAGTCTAATTAACTGTGCTACAGTTACTCTGGTTAACAAAATACGAAAGTTGGGTAGACGTAACGTTTAAAGATATAATTATTTAATAAACAACAATGCCAATATACATGTATAATATTTTTGTGAGTTTAGGAAATACATTTGTAACTTGAAGCAAACTTGTGATCAAGGTGTCTAGGTAAGGTACCTGCCCTCACATACATCACGTATACGTGCACAACTTGAACAATGTACGTATCCAACTAACATAAGAAACAAAAATGTACATTCTCCATAATGTACATATTGCACGAATATTGCGTGCATTAGTGTTTTTATCATATACCCGTGCCAACTCCTTAAAAACAGAATGGCATGTCTGTGCATAGTCGGGACATAACTTGCGTTATATTTAAACATAACGTTAAGACTCAATACAAAACTCATGTCCATCAGTACATATCTTTAAGAAGTTAAACACCAAAAATAAGCTTAACTAACTTATGCTACTAAATTATGTACACTCCAAATCTACATCAGAAACTTTAATGTATTCCCCATACCATAAACCAAAATGTACGAACATTTAGTGCTCTATTGTACACCTTATATTTGAATACATATAACTAGAATAAAATACATTTGTTCGCCATAATTATATTTACATACATGATATTATTTCATCTTACATAATGTACATATCACACAAGAATAAAATACATTGGTGCTCATCCTGTACAAAGTGCTTAGAACAAAGTGCTATTGCTCGTGCGGTGTGTACATTATTCAGGATGTACATTAATGTACGCAATTTTCGTGCTGACTATTGGTTATGTTCATTTTTTTTTTATTTTTATATCTATTGTTATGAAAACTAGATGCTTATTTGGACCACATTTCAGTGTGCTTCCGGAAGTAAACACCACGTGTGTCATATAAAAACATGGACGAAACCGAGTAGTAGTGCTTCACTCGACTATCCCTGAGATGATAGCCGCAATAACCACTAGACCATCTCTCCTTATATATACAAGAACATAAATGTCATGAAGCAAGAACACACTGACTTAATGCATGTTCCATATGTTTTATATAAAGTCAGGTTGTATGTTGCATTTAGCACGTTCAAATATCTATTATTTTAATCATTTTGACATTTTCTTTAAATGGTCAATAAACATTTGTAGAGACATGGGAAGTTTCGAACATTGTAGCTGTCACGTAATCCTTCCTTTTAATCTCTCCCTTCTGTTGATAACATTGTAACGTTACACTCTCTTTGCCAATTTCTCAAATCTAATATATAAATAATTATATATATATATATATATAAATGCTTTGATCAGTTAAAAATATTTAGAATTAAACTTTGATCATTAAATGTTGTGAGTGCGGGTATACTTTGACAAGAACAAATTAATTTACCGTGTATTTTAACAAAAAATACCGATTCATGAAACGTGTCATTTGCATACTTCACATTCACATGTTGTCAAAATTGAACGCATAAATGGAGCAAGTTTTGTCATAAAAAATAAAAAAGTTTAAACCTAATCCATTTCACTTTTTGTTGTGAAGGTAAAGGCCATGCATTGTTACACACATTGAGTTGTGTGGGACGATAATCGATTTCGCTAAAGTGTATGTCTCATACCAAGGCTCACTTTAATTTTTTTATACTTCGACTAAGTTCATATCTCATACCCCGCCTTAGTTCATATATCACACTCCCCCTAAGTTCATATCTCATATTCTAACTAAGTTCATATCTCATATTCCGCCTTAGTTCATATCTTACACTCCGCCTAAGTTCATATCTCATATTCTAACTAAGTTCATATCTCATACTCCGCCTTAGTTCATATCTCATACTTCGCCTAAGTTCATATCTCATATTCTAACTAAGTTCATATCTCATACTTCGCCTAAGTTCATATCTCATATTCCGCCTAAGTTCATATCTCATATTCTTACTAAGTTTATGCTAAGTTCATACTCCGCTTAAGTGTATTTCTAATACTTCGGCTGAGTTCGTAGCTTATATTCCGCCGAAGTTTATATCTCATATACAGCCTAATTTCCTATCTCATAATACCTTATACTTCTCCTAAGTTAATATATCATACCTAGAAGTAAGTTTATAGCTCAATTTCTGCTTCAATTTATATTTTATACGCTGCGCTCATAATTTTACGAAATGCATACAATACTCGGGTACTGGAATCTATGTATGACTGCTTCCTGCTTACTGATGGTCTATTATTGATCAATTGATTTTTCTTTGCAACTGATAGTTAATAATTTCTACATTTTTGTAAAAAATGCTTTCTCTTTTATGAGTATAAATATAATATGTGTGTTTTGATGTTGTTTGTGTGTATTATTTAGAACCTCATTTCTGGACAGAACAGAACTTGACAATTTCAACACTGGCACATCTTGGGCTAATGCACTAGATAATTCCTTGTTTGATTTAGATAATGTTGACGTTTTAAGGGTTTTCAACAGGACACTCATGGAATGCGGAATCTCGAAATCAGTCCAAGATGTGACTGATTTACTATAGAATATATAGGGTAACAATAGAATGGATCGACACACGGGTATTTAGCCGTCAAGTTATCGGTGTGCTATGTGATACTTATAAGGTCAGAAATGCTAGGAATTGCCGTTCGCCGGATATCGAGAAAACAACAACAACAACGAAAAATAGACTCCTATTCCGAATACTGTTTTACACACTAGTTTCGACCTTCATCCATGAAAATATTATTCTATATACATGTAACCCGACAAAAATATGGCGGATATCGTGCCTCGTTCGCGCTCGTCTTTGACGTCTTTTGTCGTCCATTTTGTTTTCATGTAGTATGGAAATTTCCATTCTGATTGGCTTAGGGCAGGCGTACGTGCACGGTTAGAAATTGTCAAATCTTTTTTGTTTTTATTTAGGTGTAAAAAGACACAGAGACAGGGAGATACTGCTGAAAATAATTTTACTTGTTGCTAAAGTGTCAGAATGATATCTCTGAACCAAGAATACCACGTCCGAGTATCTTGATATCACATAGGCTTCTACTGCAACGCCGGTAACTTTTAATACATTCATGTTATTACGTATTGCAGCAGTTACTTTAATATAATATAAAGTACTGCACCAGTCACTGTATGATATAACGTACTGCAGCGGTCATTGTACTACAGAGGTCGTTATACTGTTATTAAATACTGCAGCGGTCATTGTATGATGTTACTTACTGCAGCAGTCATTGTATGATATTATATACTGCAGAGGTCGTTATACTGTTATTACATACTGCAGCGGTCAGTGTACGATGTTACTTACTGCAGCAGTCATTGTATGATATTATATACTGCAGCGGTCGTTATACTGTTATTACATACTGCAGCGGTCAGTGTACGATGTTACTTACTGCAGCAGTCATTGTATGATATTATATACTGCAGAGGTCGTTATACTATTATTACATACTGCAGCGGTCAGTGTACGATGTTACTTACTGCAGCAGTCATTGTATGACATTATATACTGCAGAGGTCGTTATACTGTTATTACATACTGCAGCGGTCAGTGTACGATGTTACTTACTGCAGCAGTCATTGTATGATATTATATACTGCAGAGGTCGTTATACTATTATTACATACTGCAGCGGTCAGTGTACGATGTTACTTTACTTGCAGCAGTCATTGTATGATATTATATACTGCAGAGGTCGTTATACTATTATTACATACTGCAGCGGTCAGTATACGATGTTACTTCCTGCAGCAGTCCTTGACTGCAGAGGTCGTTATACTATTATTACATACTGCAGCGGTCATTGTACGATGTTACTTACTGCAGCAGTCATTGTATGACATTATATACTGCAGAGGTCGTTATACTGTTATTACATACTGCAGCGGTCATTGTACGATGTTACTTACTGCAGCAGTCATTGTATGATATTATATACTGCAGAGGTCGTTATACTGTTATTACATACTGCAGCGGTCATTGTACGATGTTACTTACTGCAGCAGTCATTGTATGATATTAAATACTGCAGAGGTCGTTATTCTGTTATTAAATACTGCAGCGGTCATTGTACGATGTTACTTACTGCAGCAGTCATTGTATGATATTATGTACTGCAGCGATCGTTATACTATTATTACATACTGCAGTAATCAATTTACGATGCAGCAGTCATTGTATGATATTTCGTACTGAAGCGGTCGTTATACTATTATTACATACTGCAGCGGTCAATTTACGATGTTACATACTGCAGCGGTCGTTACCCTATTATTACATACTGCAGCGGTCAATTTACGAAAATTTGCACTGCAGCAGTCGTTGTATGATATCATGTATTGCAGCGGTCAATATACTATTATTACATACTGCAGCGGTCAATGGATGATATTACGTACTGAAACGGTCGTTATACTATTATTACATACTGCAGCAGTCATTGTATGATATTAACTCTGCCTTGCCTAATTTTTTAATTATTGCCCTTTGTTTATTTTTACACTTTGAACTTTTATCCGGGATAAAACTATAAGAGATATCATCATGAAACTTTGTAGGTAGATAGTTTTCATTGTGTAAAAGTGCAGTGCTAAAGAATCATAACTCTGTCTTGCTTAATTTTCGGGTTATTGCCCTTTGTTCATTTTTACACTTTGAACTT